TCCTTTTAATATCCTGTATTTGTCCCGTATTCTGTATTACGTATTTTGACGCCTTTACAGCTCATTAAAATGGCATGCCTATGAACCAGTTTTAAGTGATGTTGGTATATGATCGTAATTTTCTCCATAAACAGCTATTATTTTCTAATTTGAATGCCTGTGATTAGAATCGAGGAATACATACAGTGACCAAAATATAAATCAGAACCCGACTTTTTAGCAAGGTTTGGCCATTTTTCTTTAGTTTAATAATGTTTATTATTTTTTTATGAAAGTAAAGCTCTTTGTCTAATAAAAACCATATAAATCCAAGTTTCCGACTTTGTGCAAAAAACTGTAAAAATTAATTCTGCAATGTTTCACCAAAATTTCAAACTTTTTAATTAGAATCTTTAGAAAAAAGATTTGGTTAGCAGTTTTGTAGCTCATTAAATTCGAGTATAATAAAGTGCAAGTGGAAAGAGATGCTCATTTGCTTCCCTTTTAAAAAAATTGTTGAACATAGATGCTTAATTTGTATGAAAAACTGCGTTACACCGTCAACAAAAGAATTGCCAAAAAAAGTCTTAGAGATATCAATATTACACTTTATAATACTAAAATTTAACGAATTTTTTAACAAATTTCGCGGGCTGAAAATCTCGAGAAAAATATCCCACAAATTTGAAATGTTACTATAAGGATGCTGTTTCAGGGTTTATAAATCTAGGATCTTGGACTTTAAGATCTGTAAGTTTTTGTTGAATAAATTCACAAAATTAAATTTTGTCCCGTATTCGGCTCCCATAAATATGGTCACCGTAGCTATACACCAGTTTTTACCCGAAAAGCGTTCCCGTACTTTTTGGTTTTTCCCTCTTTCTCTGAGAGCAATTTTGCTTTTTGACAATTTTACAGGTTTTATCCAGAAAAGTTGAGGAACGAAACTACTATTTTTCTAAATAAACAAAGTGCATCTTATTCAGTGTAGCTTCGTTATTTGAATTTTCGTTTATTTGAAAAATATGCATTGTGTGTATCAACCACATCTTTTTATATTCAGAGTCGTTTGGCAAATTGGGTACATGTGCATATATACATGGTCAATTCAGCAGGAAAGTAAACCAGTCCGATTTTTTCTTTCTTTCAAATATTGTACATATTGGTATTCACTATATCTGTCAGCTGCTTCTGACACTAATTTTTATCATGTCCAAGTAATTTGTGTTTAATATTTCGCTTCTTTTTTCGAAAGATTTTTCTCGAACCTAAAAACAGTTTTCAATACTAGAACAAGGAAAACTACAAAAACACAAGCTTTCCTTCGTTTATTTTGGATGAAAAAATTCTAAACGATAGAAAATAAATTAGTTTAACAGGATACGTTCCAAGTTAGCGAAAAAGTTGTTTAGAACTCCTATTAAGTCGTAATGAAATGTACCGCAAATGTTAAGTGTAACGTAGCCAGTGAAAAACTAAAAAGTTGTTTTTCGGATACTTAAGTATCCTTTCCAAAAGGATATTTAACATGTTTTCTTAGTATTGTTGACATCTTACGTATGCCATATGGAAAAAAAGAAATCGTAGCTGATTTCGGTGCACAACTACCTAATAAATAAATGTAACGTGGCCAGTGTTTTCTTTTGATTTAAATTTTTTTATTGACTTGATAACTATTCTCGTTTCATTTTAACAATAAATAATAAGACATATTGAAGAAAGTCTTACCTTGAATAATTGCGAATTGAGTATTATCCCTGTAGTCAAATGTACTAGTTGTAAACTACCTCACAACTAGTATGAACTGCATGCCCAACTAGTCAGCCAGCTACCTTTTTTCCATGCAGTCAACTGGTATTTTTAACACGGGGATGTCCTACGAGATGACAATTGTCAGATTTCGGTCAGAAATATACCAGTCTCATACTAGTTCAAAATAGACAGAAAAATACTAGTATAATTATAGGCCAAAATGACTACTTTGGAAGTCAAAAAATATAATAAATTCATGAATATACAATAAAAAACTTTTGATTAAGTACACTTTAATACATTACACAATTTTATGTAGTGTTAAATTTTTTGAGTATTTATTAAAAGGAAAAATAAATACATAAATATTTCAAACTTTCGAACATAAATTTAAATGCATTTTCGATTAAATTATATTAAAAGTAAAAGCTTGAATATGGAAAACATTTTAGTTAAAAATAAAAAGATACCTTAGTTAATTTTTGAGTAAACTAAGTGAATAAAAAATTTTTTAAAAGTAATAATTAGTGTTTAAAATTTGAGATTTGGATAAGAATAAAATAAATAAATAATTCAAGCAGTTATTAAATATTCTTAATATGTGTCTATACTTTGGCTTGTTGATTGATAATTGAAATTAATCAAATAATTATATTAATCGTGTAATTAAAAAAAGTCAAAAATAATTGAAAATGATAAAAAATAATTCAATAATGATGTAATTAAAGTTAACGAATTAATTAAAATATTTTGTTTAAGTAATTAATTATTAATCATTAAGCAGGTGCCAATGTCGGTATTCAATCATTAAACGGTTATCCAAAAAAACATGGTTTAATTAATAATCATTATGAATATTAATCATTATTTAACAGGTATGGTAAAATAGCGAGTACGTACTCGCTGTAACGGTTTACCATATACTCAAATAAAAGTTAGAATATTTTGTGTACTCTATTGTATTAAACTGTCGAAGTCAAATAAAACTGGGCATGAATAAATCTTTTTGTACTTACTACAAGTCTGATCACTTTTAAACTAGTTCGGTTTCAGTCAGGAAATTCTGGTTGTAAACTAGTATTTTTCCTGACTAGTTTGGGGTTTCACTGCAGGGATACTACTGAGTTTTAATAGCTATTCTATTTATATAAGGCGAAGCTAACATTTGTAAAATATTCTTTGAAATCTTTATCTCTAAAGATTTTGATTATATATGTGATTGCCTAGAACTCAATGAATTTTTTTGCAACATGTAAAACTGATAAGTTATCATCCCTTTCCACGTGATTGTATTCACTACAATTTTATAGAATCTGGTACAAGTCTACACCAGACTATGAAGAGTTTATTAATCTATTTATTTTGCTAAAAATTGTTTACGCAAGAACTCTTCTATAAAACTGCGATAAATGCATTAAGACTTTTGTATCTAAGATTAACGAAGTTACAGAAACCACCGTATCAGTTCTGAAATTGTCTTAGATGATTTAAAGAAAAAACAGTGATTCAGAATGGATTAAAAAAAAACACAGAACACTTTAGATGGGCTTATGAATTTTTTAAGTTATTAAACATAAGTGGTTTTTGCAGCAAAGTTAAGTAATTTTTATTTGTGACGATAAAACAAAGATTTTCCGGTCAAGAATTTTACTGTAGGATAATTTTTGACCTAGTTGCAATTTTTAAGGATAATCGAGTTTTTTAACCTTGAATAGAAGATTCCTTATTTTAGCTCACACATTTGTTTATGATGGCAGAATAAGAACGCGAAGAAAAAATGGTTTAGCGAAGCCTTTTGGTTAAACCTTAAAAACCTAAAATTNACATGTAAAACTGATAAGTTATCATCCCTTTCCACGTGATTGTATTCACTACAATTTTATAGAATCTGGTACAAGTCTACACCAGACTATGAAGAGTTTATTAATCTATTTATTTTGCTAAAAATTGTTTACGCAAGAACTCTTCTATAAAACTGCTATAAATGCATTATGACTTTTGTATCTAAGATTAACGAAGTTACAGAAACCACCGTATCAGTTCTGAAATTGTCTTAGATGATTTAAAGAAAAAACAGTGATTCAGAATGGATTAAAAAAAAAACACAGAACACTTTAGATGGACTTATGAATATTTTAAGTTATTAAACATAAGTGGTTTTTGCAGCAAAGTTAAGTAATTTTTATTTGTGACGATAAAACAAAGATNGACTTTTGTATCTAAGATTAACGAAGTTACAGAAACCACCGTATCAGTTCTGAAATTGTCTTAGATGATTTAAAGAAAAAACAGTGATTCAGAATGGATTAAAAAAAAACACAGAACACTTTAGATGGGCTTATGAATTTTTTAAGTTATTAAACATAAGTGGTTTTTGCAGCAAAGTTAAGTAATTTTTATTTGTGACGATAAAACAAAGATTTTCCGGTCAAGAATTTTACTGTAGGATAATTTTTGACCTAGTTGCAATTTTTAAGGATAATCGAGTTGAATTTTTTAACCTTGAATAGAAGATTCCTTATTTTAGCTCACACATTGGTTTATGATGACAGAATAAGAACGCGAAGAAAAAATGGTTTAGCGAAGCCTTTTGGTTAAACCTTAAAAACCTAAAATGTTTAACAATTTAGTATGCAGATGTCCTCCTGCATTCATTGTAGATGACATACTGAAAAACTAGCAATATTCGTTCACCCACTCGCAGAAATTTCAAGGTTTCTGACATGACCAATCCTTGAACTTCTTAAAAGTGTAACGTTGCCAGTACACATTCGAATGCCAATGACTTTGAAGCCAAAGGAATTATTAAAACCATGCTTTTACAGAAACATAGATTTGACCATGCCTAATCATATCATTTAAAAACCGAGGTGGTTTTCTGTTATTTGATGGACAATTGATTCATATTGAAGAAAAAATGCGTACGAATGTAATGTTGCCAGTCAAATAATCGACCACATACATATGAATGTTTCTGTCTAAAAATGTAAAGAATGGCTAGTCGNGCCAATGACTTTGAAGCCAAAGGAATTATTAAAACCATGCTTTTACAGAAACATAGATTTGACCATGCCTAATCATATCATTTAAAAACCGAGGTGGTTTTCTGTTATTTGATGGACAATTGATTCATATTGTAGAAAAAATGCGTACGAATGTAATGTTGCCAGTCAAATAATCGACCACATACATATGAATGTTTCTGTCTAAAAATGTAAATAATGGCTAGTCTGTGTGGTTAAATCCCATTATCTTTAATTTATTTTCAGAGCATGAAGAAAAGCAAAATCGGTTTAGAGCGCTCAGAAATCGGCAAGACCTTTTCCAAGAAGAAGGAGTGCTCAATCTAATCCTAGAAGCTATCGATAAAATTAATGTGATCACTTCGCAAGGATTTTTGGCAAGTTTTTTGGCTGGCGATGAGACTGGTCAAAGCTGGGACTTGATATCGACATATCTTTATCAACTATTGGCCGCTATTATCAAGGGAAACCATACTAATTGTGCACAGTTTGCCAACAGTAACCGTTTAAATTGGTTATTTTCGCGGTTGGGCTCACAAGCATCCAGTGAGGGCTCAGGTATGTTGGATGTATTACACTGCGTACTCATTGATTCACCAGAAGCATTGAACATGATGCGTGACGAGCATATCAAAGTTATTATCTCGTTACTGGAAAAACATGGTCGAGACCCTAAAGTTCTCGATGTATTGTGTTCTCTTTGTGTTGGCAATGGTGTGGCAGTTCGGTCATCGCAAAATAATATTTGCGACTTTCTATTGCCTGGAAAAAATTTATTGCTGCAAACCCAGTTGGTCGATCATGTAGCTAGGTAAAAATTTTCTGATTCATTATTCCGTATGTTAACTTACTTGAGACATTTATTTATTTTCTTTTAGCATACGTCCCAATATTTTTGTCGGGCGCGTAGATGGTTCCGCAATGTACCAAAAATGGTACTTTGAAGTCACTATGGACCATATTGAACAAACCACTCACATGATGCCACATTTAAGAATAGGTTGGGCTAACACTTCTGGGTATGTTCCATATCCGGGAGGCGGGAAAAAATGGGGAGGAAACGGCGTGGGTGATGACCTTTATTCCTTTGGCTTCGACGGTGCTTACTTATGGACAGGTGGACGACGTACTTTGATTGTGAATCATTTACCTGAGGAGCCATTTATACGAAAGGGAGATGTTATTGGGGTTACAATCGATCTTTCAATACCAATCATTACATTTTCTTTTAACGGCAATAAAGTTCGAGGCTGCTTCCGAGATTTTAATTTGGATGGGATGTTTTTCCCAGTTATGAGTTGTTCCTCAAAACTAAGGTGAGCTAAATGTATACTTGCTTATGTTTCTCATGTAATAAAATTTTTAATTTTTAGTTGCCGCTTTCTATTTGGCGGAGACCATGGGCGCCTAAAATTTTCTCCACCAATAGGGTTTTCCCCCCTGGTACAATGTTTGATGCCACATCAAAATCTAAGCTTAGATCCATGTTTTTACTTTGGAAACTTGTATAAGAATGTTTTGGCCGGACCATGGCTTATTGAAGATGATACCGCCTTTGTACCTAATCCGGTTGATACATCTGGTGTAATGCTTCCTTCTTCCGTTGATCAGATAAAAGAAAAGCTAGCAGAAAACATACATGAAATGTGGGCTTTGAACAAAATAGAGGCTGGATGGTCTTGGGGGGAGCATAGAGATGATTACCACCGAATACATCCATGTCTTACACATTTTGAGAAACTCCCATCACCGGAACGTCGCTACGATAGCCAACTGGCTGTACAAACTCTCAAGTAAGTATCTGTATATGTTTATATCGCCCAGAACTTGGTAATTACTGAAGGACTTTCAATCCCCTTAGTTTAGAAGAATTTAATTTGATACGGAATGGCCCGTTCATATGTATATTAGACCACGTAAAAAAAACCTGCGATGCGACCGCAACCCGACTAAAATTTTAGTATTTGGTATAGTAAGAATCTCCCCTCTCTGCGATAATTCTAAAAGGTCACGCATTGATCGTTTATTTTCCCATAGGAATTACACGTAAGAAAATGAGTTCTTATCTTTTGAGGATAAATCAAAACGCTCGAAACTATAGGAACGCATAAGATTCTTTAAATTCCTATATTTTTATTTTTAAATCGCTTGTCCCGCTTGGGTCAAATCTAGTAATTACAAAAAAAAATACAATTTATTTAAAGAACCTGAGTCTGCATAACACTTAAATTGCGTATAACACAGGGCAACACTGATTTTGGTGCGGCTAATGGTAAAGATGTTTTTGATAAAAGTGTTTGTGCTGATTACGAATTCGTAACCATCAAGTTTTCATCAGGTCCAGATTTTGAGAAAAACGATGTCAAAGTGCCAAAAACTCGCGTTTTTTGCGATACTTGAGAAGCTCTAGCAAAGAAAGAAAAGGTGGTAGAATCTTCCACTTAGGCTTAAATTAAAGATAAACTCTCGACTACTGTACCTGTAAATACCATCCCTGCACCTTGACCTGATGATAACTTATAATCATTTATTGAACAATAAAAAAATACTGGAAAATTGTGCTACTGAAAAAAAAAAATCCAAAATAATCTGCCTAGTTTGCCTAGCAGTGTGCGCAGCCACTCCATCTTGTTAGAATCTCAAACTAGAATGCTGCTCTGCCGTTGGCCGCAAAAAGTTGTCAATCCCGTCTAGTGCGTGCAACAACGTATTTTTAGAGGAGATGGCTGAACTCTGCCTAACTCAGGTTAATGTTCTTCACAATAAGTTTGGTAAAGTATTAGATCTTGTTTATGTTGATGATGCATCTAAGTCCGTTGTAAATAAGTGTGATCCACTAGTTTTGCCCGAAGATGTCTACCACCCTGCTATGGAGGTATCTTACGAAGTTATAAGTGATGGTCAAAATTGCAGTACCCAAGCATTCAAACCAAATATTTGCTTTGATTTTTCGAAAGCCAACTTTAAAATGCTTAACAAAGAACTGTCTAAATTGTCGTGGCCTGCATTTAAAGAAAATATTGAAGAAAGCGTTGCACTTTTTAACTTTACTTTACATAAATTATTTGAAAAGCATGTGCCTAAACGCATGTATGTTCCTGAAGAGCAAACACAGTTATGGTTCACTAAAGAACTGAGAAATTTGAAAAACAGAAAGTCGCGTTATTTTAGATTACACAAAAAAACCGGTTTACACTCATACTATGTAAAATACTCACTTTTGCGTCATAAGTTTTTTGAATTAAACAAAAAGTGTTATAAAGCTTACTTGTGTAAAATCAAACGGCGTATAATATATAACCCCAAATCATTTTATGACTTCGTAAACTCCAAGCGAAATGTACGTGGGTTTCCTTCCGCCATGAAGTATCAAAATACCGTCTCTAGTGATAATCAAACAATTTCTAACATGTTCGCTCAGTTTTTTGAATCCAATTATTCCATTAACTCACATGCTAACATTGCCTATCCTTTTAAACTATGTCCAATGAACTCAATAAATATCCCAGTAATTCTCCCGATGATGTAGTAGTTTATCTGATATCCTTAAAGAAGTCCTTCAGTTATGGTCCTGACCAGATCCCTACTTGTATTCTTATATTTTGTTCTGATTATCTCTATGAGCCGTTAACAGCGATATTTAATTTATCTCTTGAAGAGGGCGTTTTTCCAACTATATGGAAGGAAGGACCACTACACCACAGCGGCCGAAAAATAAAATAAGAATAAAAATAATTTTTTTTTTCTTAAAAATTAAATTTTTTTCTTTTTAATTCATAAAAAATCCAAAACGGAAAACAGTGTCACGTAAAGTCACATAACCTATGAACAAAATGAGACATACATATTGAAATTTAATATTTTAGGCAA